CCGTTTGAAGTGCCGTTGGAGCTGCCGCCGCCGTTTGGAGCTGCCGCTTCCACGTTTGGAGCACTGCCGCTGTTTGGAGCACCACTGCCATTTGGAGTGCCGCCGCCACTCCAAACAAGGCGGCAGCTCCAAACACGGAAGCGGCAGCTCCAAATGTGGTGGCAGCACTCCAAACGGCGGCAGCAGCTCCAAACATGGTGGCAGCACTCCAAACGGCGGCAGCAGCTCCAACGGCACTCCAAACGGCGGCGGCTCCAACGGCACTCCAAATGGCGGTGGCAGCTGCAATGGCACTCCAAACGGCGGCGGCAGCTCCAAACGGTGGCGGCAGCTCCAATGGCACTCCAAACGGCGGCAGCAGCTCCAAACACGGAAGCGGCAGCTCCAAACGTGGCGGCGGAATGGGCAGAAGGGAAAGCAACAGCGGCAGGTACCAAAGGTCTTGGGTCTGCAGCAAAGGTATTTGGCGGGAGTAGGAAGCTCTCTGTGCTTTGCCATGATCACCCGTTAGGAGCGGCTGGTGGCGGTGCTGCCCGTGGGGCGCTCTAGATGAGGATGAAAGGGGGGGAATTAAGTCACCCCCGAAAAGATGGCCTAGCCGTTTTTTCGGGGCTCAAAAAAAAAAAAAAGGCCCGGCCTTATTATGTGAGAAACACGGTAGCATGGCAAATTCTGAACCCCCGGATCTTCCTGAGGTGTTACTTTTATACATCTCGCAGCCTCAGCCCAGCCCGGGGCGTTTCTCTTATCAAGCTATACCATATCATATGTACTATAGAAAGGAGAAGTGAATCTAATTAGTCATTTTACACAATTCAGTATATACGCACTTATCTTACACCCTCCGTTATTTTTCATACCCACCCTTGTTTACTGGAACATGTCTAGTTCTTTGGTTCAGTAATTTCGTGGTTTATACAATATTGTATTAAGCAACTTCCATAATATTTGCTAAGAAACGTCTGCTAATTATGAGAATACTTTTCTGGTAATTTTCCATTGTGCTTCAGTTCTGTTGAAAGGTGTCAAAATGCCGTTCTTTCGAGGATTTGATTTTCCCGCTGGGAGAGCTACAACTTCCCATATTCCCTGCCTGATGTGGGGATTACTTTGGTTTAGCCAGGCTACAGCTGTCAGTTTTCAGACAAAAAAGGTCTGGAAAGGACTCCGGTTTCCCTACACACGGAGTACGGGCCCCTTTCTTTTAGGGAAACTCAGCCGTCAGTTTTAAGACCCCCTCGCTAAAAAACGGGATCTCGGAGGACCGTCTGCCCCCTAGCACCTTCGGTACAGGCCCCTCCCTACACTCAGCCGTCAGTTTTCAGATCTCCCTTAAAGGTGGGGATCTGGAAGGACCTTTTCTGCTTTTTTTAGACGAACTATTTCCAATTTTGTTTGCCAGCAGCCGGTACGGGCCCCTTCTAAATGCACAGGGCTTTGCTTGCAGGATGCACCGGGAGTATTTTTCCTCTGCTTTTTATGTATTTCCTAACACCAGTTCCTTTTGCAGCCCGCTCGGTTTTTCTTACGTCCTTCAGAAGGACTCACACTCCGTGATCACCCCTTGCGTTCCCAAATCCAGCCAGTCACGGCTCGTGTTTGAGCTAGCAGCTGGCTGGGGTGTGGCTGGCAATCACAGAGGAGGTGAGGTCTCGCTGTTTCCGCAGAGAAAACCCACAATCACACACCTGGTCCACTCATGCTTCCACTCCCCTCACTAGTAAGATTATAAATTTGAAGCGGTACTCACCTGCTTTCAAGCAGCTGTTGACCGGAAAAGCCCAAGGACTCCCTTTACTATCCTATACCTTCCGGGCTGGGTCCGTGGATGTTGTCCCTGGACAAAGAAGGTCCATGCTGGCTGGGTTTGGATCCGCGGGCCCGGTCCGGTGGCAGTGTTGGCTGGGAAATCTTCGTGGTCGCCAATTGTTGAAAGGTGTCAAAATGCCTTTCTTTCGAGGATTCGATTTTCCCACTGGGAGAGCTCCGGCGCAAGGATACGGACAACTGCTTGAAAGCTGGATCTTTTTATTTTTCAGGAAGGTGGAGAACAGCGAGAAGTCTGTGTTCCTGGGTTAGCTAGCTTCTTATGGTAAGTCCCTGTTTTTTAATACCCTTTTCTCCCTTTGTAAGTTGATTTTGTGTGAGTGTTTGTATTTGTGCCTAATGTTTCAAATCCTGTTTGAGTTTGTCTTTATTTCCGCCGGAGGGCAAACTCTGCGGTGTGGCCAGATTGTATTATTGGTTTTCTGTAATCTCTTTTAGCTTTAAGATAGTTTTTCATATTTGTTCTGTGGCAATCTTCTGTCTGTCCCTTTTGTAATTTATATTTTGTGTCTTTTGTCTGTTTGTTTTGCTTATTTGGTATGTCCTGTGTTTGTAAGGGTTTTCTAAATTATCTTTTGTTTCCTTTTCCTATTTGTCTAGTTTTCTTAATTACTTAGGCTTTTGTCTGTAGGGATTCTTTAATACTTTTTATTTGATTCCTTTTCCTATGTAAGTTTGTTTTCTGGCTGACCTGATGTTCCCCTTGGGCTTTTCCTGTTTTTTTGTGACACTGCTGCCTTCGTGAAATTCCCTTTCCACAGTTCCAAAGGTAAAAAGGAAGAAGAAAGGCTTTCAATATTGTTGGTTTAATATACCTGGAAAAGCAGTTTGTGTCTGAGCCAAAACAATGTCAGAAAAACTTAGAAGGGACAACTAGGAATATTTGTAGAAGTAACTAGCTGTGAGTATGTTTTAGAGATAAAAGCATCAAAATAAGTGTGGGGAGACTCAGGTTCAAGTCTGCCCTCTGTCAATCCCATTTCTTGTGTACATTTTCTTTGGAAAAATAAAAATAGGAACTGCTTTAAGAGGACTGTATGGATGGATAGCAAGTCCAGTGACAAATTGAAAAACCAAAATGAGATATACAAGAACCCAGAAGCAAATTAAGGATTAACAAGTATAGTTTAAACCTTATAGGAATAAAGTTAAAAGAGTAAATCTCAGAATGGGGTGAAGCTAGTGAGGAACATAAGGAGATTTTGAAGAGGGAGGGGACATGACCGTTTATTTTTAAATAAATTGCGAAGTTGTTTATCTGCTGCACAGGGAAAGTGAGGAAATATAATTGGAAATAAGGAGAAAACTGAATGGTTTGATACTTTTTTTGCATCTACCGTGTTTCTCATATAATAAGGCCGGGTCTTTTTTTTTTTTTTGAGCCCCGAAAAAATGGCTAGGCCGTCTTTTCGGGGGTGACTTAATTTCCTCCCCCCCTTGCATCTTAGGGCGGGCGGGGACGGCTTGGATGTTGACCTCAGCGTTGGTGGGGCACTTTGTATCAGGGTCAACGCAGGCAGCACCATATCCGGGTGTGCAACAAAAGTACTTCCTAACAGCAAGCCCCCCCGCCATCCCCCCCCCCATTTCGCATGTTTTAATATAGGCCTTAATTTGGGGGGAGGGGCTTAATTTCATTTCATGCCTATAAAACATGCTGGGACTTCCTATTGGGGGAGGCCGTATTGTTGGAGAAACAGGGTATCAACTCTCAGAAAAGGGAATGGGTTCTTTTGGATATATTGAGAAAAGTCCAAAACTTCATTCAATACTAATAAAGATACACTGAAACTCCATATCACTTTCTTTAATTGACTTGTATCCCAGGGCATTCAAATTAACACCTCAGTGTTGAAGGAGCTGACTGTCAAGCATGGGTCATGGTGATGCTGCAACTGAAAAAGCAGTTTTTACCTGTTGCATCCAGATAATGGGAAACAATTGTTCTGCTGTACTTT